ATTCCAGGCCCTGCCCCCTTCTACCTGTCTATGTTCTTCATTGACTGCTGCTTTGCCGGATCCTTTCCTCTCCTTGACTGTATCAGTTAGGACCCAATCAGAAAACATGCAAGTGATTCAAACCGAAAAATTATGATATGAAGAACTGTTTAATACTAGTGTATCATTTTGCACACTGGAAAAAGTGGCTAAGAGAAGGAGTAAAAGAGGACTCTAGGGGGAAAGCAATATGCAGAAATCCACCCCCAGCTGAGATTCAGACTTTTTGAGGGTAGTATGTCCACTCCAGGAACACGAAGCCTGACAGTGGTGAAGAAATGTGCCAGAGGCCGTGGGCAGAAGCTGTTGGGTGTGGGCTGCAGCTGGCCCATGCAGACTACTGAGGGGCGGGCTTCCAGAGCTTGGAACTGAGTGAGTCTTCACTCAGTAAATGGCACAGAATCCAAACCTATCTTTCAGTAAATGCAACTCTGCATGTAGTTGCTCAGGCTAAAACATTAGAGTCAATGTCTCTTTTTTCACACTCTGTGCTTGATTTCTCAGCACATCCTGTTGGGCCTGCATACAGAATGGATCCAGACTTAGACCACCTCCACTGCTACTTCCCAGGTCCGCATCAAGGTTCTCTCTCACCTGGATAATTGCATCATCTCCTAATTGGCTTCCTCGAGTTAGCCCTTTCTCGACTGCCACAATTGCAGTTCAACACAGCAGCTAGAGGGACTTTGTAAAAAATTAAGATATAGTACATCATTCTTCTGCTCAAAAGCCTTGAGCAGAATGGTTTACATCATACTCAGAGTAAAAGCCCAAAGTCCTCATAATGGTTTGGTGGTTTAGTCGCTAAGTCGTGTCCAATTCTGTTGCGACCCCATGGACTGTAGCCTGCCAGGCTTCTCTGTCCATTGAATTTTCTAGGCAAGAATATTGGAGTGGGTTGCCATTTCCTTTTCCAGGGGATCTTCCCAACCCAGGGATGGAGCCCAGGTTTCCTACATTGCAGGCAGTCTCTCCCATTGAAGACAGATTCTTTATTAACTGAACCACCAGGAAAGTTCATAATGGTTTACAAGGTCTTAAATGATGTTTCTCCCCATTACCTATTAGACTTCATATCTTTCTTACTGTTTCATTCCACCCACTCTGACCTCCTTTCTATTCTTCAGACTCTTCAGACATATATTTTTCAGACCTTTGCAGTTGTTTGTCCTTGTGTCTAGAAGCTACATGATTCACTTTCCTATCTCCTTCAGTTCTTTGCTTCTATGTCAATGTCTTAGGGAAGTATTTTCTTATAATTTTATTTAGATGTTTTAAAAGAATTTTTACTACACCTTATTTTGCTTCATAGAACTCACTATGCTGACATCCGAATTTATTTATTGTCTATTGTCCAACTCTCTCCACTGTAATACATAAATACAAGCTCCATGATAGCAGAGGTTTTTGTCTTGTTTGCTCATTGATATGATTGTACTGCCTGGCACACAGTAAGTGCTCAAGAGATGCTTTTTTAAAATGAGAGAATGCACGTGTACTCTGATAATATGTATGAGAGTCTGTGCGAGGGTCTGGAATGTTCAGTTCAGTTGCTCAGTCATGTCCAACTCTTTGTGACCCCATGAACCACAGCATGCCAGGCCTTCCTGTCCATCACCAACTCCTGGAGTTCACCCAAACCCATGTCCATTGAGTTGGTGGTGCCATCCAACCATCTTATCCTCTGTCGTCCACTTCTCCTGCCCTCAGTCTTTCCCAGCATTGGGGTCTTTTCAAGTGAGTCAGCTCTTTGCGTCAGGTGGCCAAAGTATTGGAGTTTCAGCTTCAGCATCAGTCCTTCCAATGAATATTCAGGAGTAATTTCCTTTAGGATGGACTGGTTGGATCTCCTTGCAGTCCAAGGGACTCTCAAGAGTCTTCTCCAACACCACAGTTCAAAAGCATCAATTCTTCAGCACTCAGCTTTCTTTATAGTCCAGCTCTCACATTCATACATGACCATACATTCATACATGGAAAAACCATAGCCTTGACTAGACGGACCTTTGTTGACAAAGTAATGTCTCTGCTTTTCAATATGCTGTCTAGGTTGGTCATAACTTTCCTTCCAAGGTGTAAGCGTCTTTTAATTTCATGGCTGCAATCACAATCTGCAGTGATTTTGGAGCCCAGAAAAATAAAGTCAGCCACTGTTTCCACTGTTTTGCCATCTATTTGCCATGTCTGGAATGTTACAGACATATAATAACATATAGTCCTCACCCTCAAGGAACGTACAGTCTAGTAGGAATACTCAGACAGGTATGGACATATTTATAGTGCAAGGTAGAATATCGATACATACTACAAGAGAAGTTTTTATGTATCAAGTGCTATTGGGATTGGAACTTAGAGAGATCATACAGAATTTAGGGAATCAGGAAAGACTTCATGAAGGAGGTGCTGTTTGAGCAGTATCTTATTTCTAGATGGAGAGCAAATGGAAGACTGCCAAATGGAGAGACCATCACAAACAAAGGTCTGGAAGTGGGAAAGCACAGAATGTGTTTTGAAACTGGTGAACGTTCCATTTGGGGTATCTCTATAGACAGAGATGGCAGCAGATCAGAATGGAAAGACACATTGGGGCTAGATTATAGCTGGCCTTGAATGTCAGATCAGGACAGTGTGCTCAAAGTTTAGGAGGCCTTTGAGAGCCACTGAGGGTTTATGAAGAGACTCTAGACAGCTTGATCAGGTTTATGGGTAGAAAAATGAAGAAAGGTTGCCATATGGAGGGGGAGGAAGGCTGAAGAATAAGAAATACTTGAAGTGGAACCAAGTCTAGAGAAGGTGAAAGGGCATGAGATCAAGAACCAGGAGAAAATAGCCAAAAGGGCTTACACACATCCTGAGGGAGAGCAATCTAACAAATTAAACAAGATAATTAAACATTTAAAAATATGCCTTGGAAAATATGAATGTAGGTTATCATTTTTTGTGTGTGGGTGTTAGTTACTCAGTTGTGTCCAACTCTTTGCGATCCCATGGACTCAAGCCCACCAGGCTTTTCTGTCCATGGAATTCTCCAGGCAAGAATACTGGAATGGGTTGCCATTCCTTTCTCCAGGGGATTCTCCTGACCCAGGGATCAAACCCAGGTCTCCTGTATTGTCGGCAGATTCTTTTTATTAAGAAGCAGCAAAATGAGTAGTTCTGAAAACATGGCTGTCAGTGTTATCAGTGGCTGGGTTTCTGGTCAAGACCACCTTCACCAAAAGCCACCCTGTAGCCATTACCTAACTGGAGTCCCTTTGAAAACATGTTCTAACTCCAGCAGTATTCAGAAAGCCTGCAGCTGCCAAACCTCCATATCCGGTCCCGAAGCTACTGCATTAAAGTCTTCACTCCTGGAGCTGTTGATGACCAGCTACTATTCTCTGCTGGTGTTCACATCTACCTTGGCTGCTGTGGCCAGGTAGTCAGAATGTAACTGGGAAGCAAGTTGGTGAGATTTCAGAGAGAAAGTTCTAAACCATGACTGGTAGTTCAGTTATAAGAAATCCCAGAGAGATGAAATATTCTAGAAGCTTTTGTTATTATTTTAAATTTTCATTATTTTTCTAGTTCTTCTGACTTTAGTTTTGGGCAAAAGCCTAGCAGGCTACAGTCTATGGGACTGCCAAGGGTCAGACACAACTGAGCAACTAAAACTTTCACTTTCACACCAAGATATAAAGGAGTGGGCATGCCATGTAGGTGGACAGGTCTGGAGTTAGTATTTACAGGAGAAACATGACCAGTTCCACACACTGACAGTCAGAGTTTTTAGGCTGCGTGGTTCCCCAGGAGTCATTGTTGTAACTCTCTGCAACCTCATGGACTGTGGGCCACCAGGCTCCTCTGTCCATGGGATTCTTCAGGCAAAAGTACTGGTGTGAGTTGCCATTTCTTCCTCCAGAGGGGTCCCAAAGAGCTGGATATGACTGAGTGACTAATCTTTTTTTATATATTGCTACATATTTTCTTCCAAATATTTTCATATGTGTTCATCTTCTCCACACAGGGATGCAGAAAGACTCCATCAGCCCATGCAGATTGCTGTGGGTTCATGTTTATCTGAAATGACCAGAGCTGAAAGTAGCCAGTACAGGCACCAGGAATCAGTTGCTCCATCATGGTTCAGTACTCCTTAGTAAGAGCCGTGCACTATGATGGATGGTGGGAAGGTTCAAAGGACCCAGGCCACTTGACTGCCCCTCCTGACAGTCACTCAGTGACTGTGGCAGGAGTCCTGCATCCTACGTGGACCTCAAGATTTTCAACATCCTCTAAATAGGATTTTTTTTTTTTATTACCACACATCTTAGTCCAAACTACAGGCTATCATACTTACTGCAGAATGTCTGGTGACCATATGCTGATCTCCTCAGTCTGAACACTGATTTACAACATGATCACAAGGGCCTGTGACTCACAAGGGCTGGGCCCCTAACTGGCTTTGCTGCCTGATGGAGAAGAATGAGAATTTCTTTCATAACCTTGTCCAAGGCTATAAATATTGAGGAGTCATGATAACCTTGTTCTTTGATCAGACGTTTACTACATTTTTGCTTGTGAAGTGCCACGCACGCTGGAGAGGCTGGGATGTCAAACATGGAGGGAAGGGCCTCTGCCCTCAAGGGGCTGATGGTCTAGTGGAGAACAGATAGAACTGCTACGATATCCTGTGATACCTCCTACACTGTCCTTACGGGTTACATGCTTTGGGAGTCCTGAAATGGGAAAAATTAGTTTTGTTTAGGGAAGATCCCCTGGAGAAGGGAATGTCAACCCACTCCTGTATTCTTGCCTGGAGAATTCCATGGCAGAGGAGCCTGGTCGGCTATAGTCCATGGGGTCACAGAGAGTTGGACACAACTGAGCAGCTAACACTTTCCCCCTTTTTTTTCCCGGAGAAGTTGGGAGCTGCCTTTGCAGATAAGGTGACATTTGGGCTGGGCCTGAAGGCAAGTGTGTCGTTAGGGGACGGAACAAGACCTTTGCATGAACAAAACCATGGGATTATGAAAATGGTGGGCATGTTTGGGAAATGCTGAGGCTGAGTGTGGGTACTGCATGGGGTGAGCAGAGTCAGGGGAACAATGGAAAATGAAGTAAAAACTGTAAGTAGAACCAGATTGTGACAGGTAATGAATATCAAAGGAAGCTGCTTTTTGTATAAATAGTAATGCCATACTTAGTCGCTCAATCGTGTCTGACTCTTTGTGCCCCCATTGACTGTAGCCCACCAGGCTTCTCTGTCCAAGGAATTTCCCAGGACAAGAACACTGGAATGCGTTGGCATTTCCTTTTCCAGGGGATCTTCCTGACCCAAGGATCGACCTCGTGTCTCCTGTCTTCTGCATTGCAGGCAGATCATCTAACCAGGGGAAGCCCCATAAATAGTAAATGCCAACTTGAAAAAAAGAACAGTATTTATCACTATTTTTATTTACTTAAAAGCATTTCTAAAATATATGTTACAGTATAACATATTGTTTTTCTCCCATTAATATCGCTCTGGGGAAGTTGAAATATTTCCAAATGTTCACTTACTGCATTTTGACTCTTGATTTTCTATTTGGTTTTTGTCTGATCTCACTGGAGGAATAAAGTATGATCAGAGAGATGGAATGATTTCACAAAGGTCACATAAGAAAGTGGCAAAACTGAAATATGAGCTGAGGTTTCCCTTCCCTAAGACCTGTACTTGTCCAGCGTAACTGGGGCCCAGGCTCTTCTGTTCTGGGCGAGTGTGTGGCTGGGTGCATAGTGGATGCTTTGGAACATTGAGTCTTGAACCCTGGGTCAAAATGCCAGTGGGTCAAACATGTGAGACTGGCAAGAGCAGGATGTTAGACGTGGGGTTGCAAAATATTATACCTATGGCTGATTCATGTTGATGTTTGACAGAAACCAACACAATTCTGTAAAGCAATTATCCTTCAATTAAAAGAATAAATAAATTTAAAATAAAAAAAAAAAAGAAAAGCTAGAGGGTAGAGTCAGTGGTGCTCAGAGGGCCCAAGAGCCCAGAGCGGCGTGTCTCGCGGGTGCCTGGCACAGGTCGTGGGAGATGAAGCAGAGCTCTCTCTCCCCCATCCCTGGCTCTCCTTCAGCTCAGGCAACATCTCTGTCTTATCAGGGGCCCTGCAGCTTCTCCAGTAAAAACAAGGAATATTTTTTCTTCATGTTTCCAGACTATAAAACAAAAATAGTTGATTTGATGATGGCGATGATAATAATGGTGATATCCTAAGATTGGAGGAAGTTAAATAATTTGGCTCAAGTAGTATAGTGAGTCAGTGGCAGAGCTAAATTTGGATCCCAGTCTGTATAACTCCAAAGTCTGCCATAGCCATTACCCTGCCTTGCAGCCTAAGGATCAGTCTGACTGATTTGGAGCTCGGGCCCACACCCTACCTAGTATTGCAAGCTTCTTAGAAAAGTGTAGGTGTGGGGTTGGGCTTGCTGCTATGACTGCTTTCATGTTGAAGAGCTGTGCAAAATTGAAGATCAGACATTTTCCCCATCATCATCATCATCATTATTATTGAGAAATCAAAACAGCACCTTAAATGTGGTTTGAGCTTTACGGTTTTCAAAGTATTTTCATATGCATACTCTTATTTAGAACCACTTGGCTTCATAGACAGAGTGGGTCCATAGTTAAGGAAAGTGGTTGAGAGTTAAGCGGAAAGTTGGAAAAACTGAATAGATTTCAAACATTTTAATCATAATCCACAATAAAAATATATATTTTATATTATGATCCAGATTATCATGCCCTCTGACCTATTCTGTTATTTCATTTCATTTCAATATCTTGGTCACCATCCAATAAATTGATTTCATGGCATGCTAACACCAATTTTGACTTTCAATTTGAAAAACACTGGAGATCTATTGAGTTTCTCCACTCTGATGTGTTATAGTTCCATAATATATCGATAGTAAATGTTAAATCATGAATTATTCACCAAGTGTCAAAACCAAATTGAACTTTGAAGGAGAGTGAGGACAGTGGCTTCTTGCCCTACTCCACATCAAGCCTTCTCTCCCAATATGATTTTCAAAGGCTGCCACTTTCAAGATGTGTTTTCTCTTTGATATTTGCTCCCCTATTTCTAATCAATGTTCCTAGAAATTAATTGATCAGTTTTAGACATTAGCTGATAATTTATCGCTTGTCTGCCAATGCCCCTTAATTAAAATGTCAAGCTGGCAGATAGCAAGATGGCAGCTCTGTTGCTCCTGAAGCTGTTGGAGGAAGTGCTTGACATAGAATGGGTTTGTGAATACCAATCTCTGGAATATAAAAGACATCATCCTCAGTCACAGGCAGAATCCTCACAGTGACAAAATCTGTGGCATGGGTGCAAAGCAAAAGACATGTTCTCTGCAGGCGGGATGATCCCAAAGACAGAGCTGATATACATTTGTTCTTGCTCCCAGCTTTACCATTCATATAATCTATTTCTCCCTTAAAGAGGAGGGAGTGAGAAGTGACAAGTGGCCAAAAAGGCTTTGCTAGGTCAGGTCACCCATAAGGAAACTTGCAGCTCAAGAGACATACTCAGGCACCCATCCTAGTTCTAAACAACAGTTCAAGAGAAAGCCTGCTTCTCTGGACCCAAAGCAGGAAACAGAAATTGAGTAGCTGGATAAAGGAATCAGAAGGATCTCTATTCTCAGTTAAAGGATTTTTTTTTTTTGGTCCATTGGCCTGGCTTAATATTTCTGTTGAATTGTGTTTTACCACTTAGAAACTTACTACCAGATGCTCAGGTCTGGGAGATCCAATTGTTAACATCATTGCATAAAATTAAATTAAAATTTTACAAAACCACACAAATATTAAGACAAAGCTATGGATATGCCTGAAAATAAATTAGACTGAAATTTAGTCTGAAAACTCCAAGAATGCTAAGCCCCTAAATTTCATTACATAATTCCCCAGTCATCTAAAGTGGGGAGTGGAGTCTGATCGGCACTACCATCTGATTTCAGCATGGTTGTTAAGCCCAGACCAGAAATGGAGTTCTATAACAGACAACGAATTAGGGCTATGTGTTAGAGTTTTATCTGGAGCCACAGACAAAATCTTGGAATCGTACTTAAAGGTCTAACTGCAGCGGGCAGCCACACACAACTCATCAGCAACATACAATCAGGCGCTTCCAAGTCAGACTTGAGAAATTCGGGACTCACTTAATGACATGGCCTGTGTAAAAGAGGAGATTGCCAACAGAACAAAATTCTGTTGCATTTTCCTGACCCTCTGGGGTTTAAATTTGCAACCTGCATCAGCAAAACATTTTGGCATTTAATTCTATTAAAATCAAAGAGCCAAACTTCTGCCTCCTGTTACATGAGCACCGTTCTTACTGACGTCAATGAAAGCTGTGCATGCATAACTGAGGGCAGATTTTGGCCTGGGCTGTAGACATATGAGAACTGGCACAACATGCTCACATCAAAACTCTGTCCCACCCGGCCTTCTGATAACGCGGCCTCCTCCTTCATAACTCTCTCTCCACACACTGGGAGCTGGGCCTTTACCCAAAACACAAATTAGAAGCATCATCTCACACAGAAATCTAAGCCAGATGCAAATTTAATTTAGATGTGGCAAAAGTCACCTGAGTGGGTAACTAACTGCAAATTTCACAAACATTATCGGAGACTTCCTCTTGAAGCATAGTCAGTGTAGTTTCTGATGTATGCATTTAATCGGTTAGGAGAAGGGAGCTTGCCCCTATTCCACCCCACCATTTAGTTTTTGTACTTGAGAAAGCACTGCCTACACCACTCAGACTTCTGCTGCTGGTTTAGGAAATACTACAAATATCCCTGTGCCTGGTGTATTGCCTGGGACAGAGGGCACACAGCCTAGTGAATGACTATGGGACAAATGGATTTTATAAAGCAAGAGATAGTCATAATAGCTTACAGTCACACAGTGCTATGTGTCAGGCACTGTCTTGCTTATATTGAATTATTTAATCCTCACCACACCCTATCATGTAAGTTTACTATTTTATAAATGAGCAAACTACAGAAGTTAAGCAACTTAACAACTAGTAAGTGGTGGAGTTGGGATTTTAATCCAGGCAATCTGGCTTCAGAGGTCAGGTCATTATTCACTCTGCTAAACTGCCTCTCAGTAAAATGCAGCAATTGTTTATTATTAATTAGTTATCAGTCAAATAATGTTTATTAATGTCTGGGTAATTCTATCGAGAAAGATAGAAACATTTTATTAGCAACAGCTTGTCAAGAACTGTTTGTGTGATCTTAATTGTCTGAATTTGGTTTTCAACCAGTTTTTCTAAATACTAATAGCCATAGTGTAACTTCACAGCCTAGTGAAACATATTAGTCTCATGGCACCCTTGACATTTTTCAGCAGACAGGGAAATGAATTTTGCAGTGAATTTTGAAGACAAATTGCATGGGTATCACATTTAAACAAAATTTAAGATTACATTGACCATTATCTCCTTCAACTAATGTTTCTGCAGTCACTTTTAAAAAATTAAATATGTTAGGATTCACATGACTGTTTTTAAACATTGGCCATGTTTTCTCTCATGAGAGTGTATCTGAAGTTATAGCTGAGTTTGATACATATGGTTTGACATATATTCACTTTACATGGAGATTTGAGGGATACTGCTGCAACCAGAGGATGGAACCTTCTTCCTCGGCCCAAAGTCTACTGGCGAAAAAATGGGAAGAGGATGGCCCTATCTAAGAACTTATCAGGCCCCTGTGAAGGTAATTTCTGAGCTTTGGTTTGGTTTTTATATTGCCCACAGTATACCTTTATGAAACCCAATGGCTCAGCAATAGATCTGCTTTCTTATTCTGAGCACATCGTTGTCTTTGGTTTCAAGTGGAAATCCTTTGTGTTGTCCTCCTACACCAGGATGCCTAATTTCCTTTCTTTGATGTCATCTTAGAATCTTCCTTCATGATAGTGGGCAGGGGATTTGCCACTGGAGTCTAGGAAAAGTCAAATTTTGCAACTTTCCTTGACATGAGGAAATCAAGAAAGGAACATATTCTTCTTATGAGAAGAAAAGAAAGTGAGGGGAACTGTTTTGGCAATCTTGAATTTGAAACCATGCTAGATTGTTAAGTTGTTTGGAGAGTGAGGAATGTGACTTGTCCATGGTCATGTGATTCATGAGTAACAGACCAAGGACAAGAATCCAGAACACTTAACCCCCAAAACCACACTCCCCTCATTCCAAACATGCTAAAACATATCACAGGGGCCAGGAAGACATTTTTTTGCAACTAGACAGAAAGAGATTTGGATTTATGTCCATCAAAATCCTATCCCATTGCCAGCACATGT